TTTTTTAACCTGAAAATGTTACATGGTGCTTATTTAGGAAAGCGGAAACCGAATAGCATTAAGTGAGCGGCATCAGGAACAAATGCTCGCACAAATGGAACAAATCGGTGGCGTTATGGATTCCGGAAGATTGGATGAGGTTGTGCTTACTTACCTGGATGAGCTGATGGAACTTCGTTTAGCTGAGGCAGCAAAGGAGGAAATAACGCTCGAAAAATTGATTGAACTTGCGAGAAGTTGCCTGTACGAAATTTTCGCAGTTCATCCAATTCAAGCACCAAAGGAAGAAAAAACACCGGAAGCAGAACTGACAGAAAGACTCAGTAAAATCTGTTTAGCTGAAACACCAAAAAAGTAGCAGAGGAACATTAAGAAAAGTAGAAAATTTATTTCAGAAATTTCTGGAAGCATGAGTGAAAAATTTTGTCGCTGTTAGAAGATGTCTCAAAAAAATTTCTTATTTTTATTCATTATTTTTAATTATCATTCTGGTCAGATTTTAATCCGTCGTATATAATGGCTATTTTTTTTGCATGTTGCATCTTTATGTAAGTATATTGAAATACCACTTTTGTCGATATAAACACATTGTAAACCCTTAAGCTCACGGCTATTTGGGTTTTTTGTTTAACAAATTTATAACATTTTTCATTTTTTGCTCTGTATAGACATTGTTTTTTGCTGTTTTTTGTTTGCAGCAATTTTGGAGAATGTAATGTAGTCAATTTTTGAACTAAAAATTTTTTTCGCCTCAAGTGTTGGGGACAGTGAAAAAGCGCAGTGTGCACTGTCCTTCAGTTTTTTGTCAATTGATAAACAGTCTGGCATAACTGTAATTGGCGCAAAAAAGCATCACAGTGAAATCAATAACGTGGAATATCAGCATTGATTTTTTCAAGAAGTTTCGATATTTCTGGAAATTGAGTATACATATGATATAAAAGCAAACGAACGAATGAATGAACTTATATTCATTTTGAGTAGCAAACATTCAAAATCAGTCTAGCACTGAAGTAAGCGGTAAAGG